GCAAGCTTCGGGATCCTTGGGCTTCATACTCCCAGCTGCTGCAAAGAACGGGTCCTGGGTTCAACGCCACAAGCTCTGCCTACAGGTGTCTACGAGGGCAAGGGGACATCTTCAGCATGACAAAAGACTTTAGCCAGTGCCAGTGGCACAATGTGCTTGAGTGACTCACAGGAAGTCCCCATTCTTCCTCATCATGTTCATTCTATGCCAGGACACTGTAGACTTGCGTTCTCAGACCGTATGGATAAGGTCACCTGAGGAAGACGGGGCTGGAAAATAAATACCTGCCTCAGCACCCCTCAGCCAGAGCCCTAGCCCCAGCAAGAAGATGTCCAATCAGCCTGATGAGAGGTCAGCAGGCCAGGATGGGGCTGGCAGCAACTAGTCTCATCTAGGGCAGATTCTGAGTTTCCCAAGGAGGATGCCCACAGGCATGGGGCAGTGAACTGAGCGTCAGCTCCATAGTATGTAGGGGACAGGAGGGACAGGGTGGTGGCCTGGTTGGGACTAAACCCAAACCAAGAGAGAGTAATACAAGCTGCAGGGGCCTGAGAAGAGCTCCAGTCAGGGTTCACTTGGGGGATGAGAAGGACGGAGGATTGCAAGGGTGGTCGTGTCCCTGCTGCATACACCTTTCGGTATCTTATTGAGCAGGGCAGTGGGGGTGGGCTGCACTCAAAGGGGACTGGGAATCAGCCAGTTCTGTGGCCAGCTGCAGGCCCCTAATATCGCCAAACAACCACCTGCCTGTGTCCACCCCTGCACCAGCTCCCGGTTCTCTAGCAGAGGCCCACCCTAGGGTCATTGTTCCTTCTCTGTCCCACACTTCAGGACTGAGGGAGGCCGCTGGGGAGGGTGAACCCTGACACCCCTGCACACCTATCTCTGCCGGGAGTGGCCTGGAGGTGGCTTTAAGGGGAAGGGCAGTAAAAGGAAAGGTATTGGGTATTTGCTGAAAGCAAAGCTGGACAAGCTCCCAGTGGGCTGCAGAGCAAATCCTTGGAAAGCGCTCTTTGCTGTTGTTCATTTAGAGGGCCTGTGGGTAGTGCTGCAGGACGTGAGGAGGACACTTGGGGTGCCTGCCTGCTGGGTTTGCAAGGGGCCTGGCCATAGGCAGAAGGCCAGCACCTTCTGGTGCGGGGACTGTTTGGGTTCAGCAGGTAGAAAGCAGCCTTTCCTACTCCTATCAGGGTCATTTTGTTTCTAATTTTATTTCTTTTGGACAAGGGAGATCTATGTGGCCCAGGCTGGCCTCAAATTCCCATGCCAAAGTTCTTGCAGGAGGGTGTTGTAGATGTAACCAACCGTCTTATTAAATAAGAAACACAGAACCAATGTAAAAGAGAAAGCCAAGAGGTCAGAGCTCAGAGCTAAAATATCACCCTTCCTCCTGCGGTGGTCCTAGCTCTCCTAAAAAGAGCTACTTCCTGTGTGTACGTCTTTTCATAGTCTTTTTGTTCTGCCTTCTCATTGGTTGTAAACCCAAACATGTGACTGCCTCGTCACTGTCTGTATGTACAGCCCCCCAAGTCTTAAAGGCATATGTCTCCAATGCTGGCTGTATCCCTGAACACACAGAGATCTACCTAGCTCTTCTACCAAGTGCTGGGATTAAAGGCGTGTGCCACCACCGCCACACTCTGTCTATGGCTCTATTAGCTCTGACCCCCAGGCAACGTTATTTATTAACATACAATCAAAATCACATTTCAGTACAATTAGATTACCACCACAGGGTGTCTACTCTTTTCACTGGCTTTTACTTGCTATTTTACTGGTTGCTGGCAGAATGAAGGTGGATTGCCCAGCAGTTACTCAGACTGCACTGGGTCTGGGATGGGACAGAGAGGGCAGCGGTGGGAAGCAGGGTTTGGGGACCTGGGACCTTTCTACATGAAAACAGGGTGTGCCCCGTGACATGCATACTCAGACTCCGGGCACCCCCCTACCTCCTACAGTCCTACGGGACCACACAGGCTGGGAGTTCAGAAACACAGATGTACCTGTGGAGCACTCAGGATCCCGATAGAAGTGGATCGTATCAATCTATTGCATTCGGCCTGATGCACACTCTGCAGCTCCTGATTCTCAGAAGGCCAGATTATTGGCAGGAGGCCAGATTGTTTCCTGGGGAGTGACCACCTTCCTCAGCCTGTGGAAGCCCCTAGGCCTGTCCAGCAGGATTCAATTCACTGTCCACTCCAGGGTCTTGCATGTATTGGGCAAACACTTTACCACTAGGCTACATCTCCAGTCCTTTTTGACATTCTGAGACAGGCTTGCTAAGTTGGCCACGCCGCCTTTGAGCTCATATGGCCGTCCTCCTGCCTCAACCTTGCAGGTGGCTGAGATGGCAGGCTTGTGCCTCCAGGCCCAGGTCTCTTCTGCTTACTGCTTCTGAGCACATGCACGTGACCCAAGTGTCCTGGCTCTTCCCTTGTGGCTGATACAGTCCGCTGAAGGAATCCACAGGACTTACTAGTCTGGGTACAGGTTGGTGGACATTTGGGCTGTTACCAATTAGGGATCTTAGGAGTAACACTGCTTTCAACAGTTTGTGTTTTGTGTGAACACATGTTTTCTCTTGGAGGAACACCAACTGCAATTGTGGACTCACACAGAATGTTTAATGGATCCAAGGCTCCCAAATCCAGGACCGTGATTACAACCTGTTGACTGTGGCCAAGGCTGGAGTTCTCCTCAGTTCTTGGTATCCACCACCTCCTTGGCTTCAGGAATTCTAGGGGGTTGTTCGGAGTCTCTTCCCAGGTTTTATTTGTGACGGAGTTTCTTTCTGTAGACCAAGATGGCTTCAAACTTGCGGTGATCCGCCTGCCTCAGCCTCCAAGGTGCTAGGCTTACAAACATTAAGTCACCATGGCTAGCTCTGTGTCCTTTCTTTCTTTGGAGATAGAGCCTCATGAAGCCCAGGTTGGCCTTGAACCCCTGAACCTCCTGCCTTCATCTTCTGAGAGCTGGGATTACAGATTTGCATCATTATTCCAGATTTCTTAGTTTCATATTTACTGTTGCTTTGATAAAAACACCTCAACAGAAGTAACTTAAGGGTGGGGGTGTTTGTTCTGGTTCCCAGTTCAAGGTATACTCGGTCACTGTGAGGAAGGCATGGAGGCAGGGGCATGAAGCAAGTAATCACGTGATAGTCACAGTTCAGGAGCAGAGCAACGAATGCATGCTGCCCAGCTCTCTTTGCACAGTTCAGGAGCCCGGTCAGGGAACGGTGCCTCCTACAGTCCGTAGGTCTTCCCACCTAAACCAACACGATAATCCCTCCTGGAATGCCCAGAGGCCTTTCTCTCAGCTGATTCTGTCAAGTTGGAAATCAACACTATCGCATTCAGTTTATTCTGGCCTGGGGAGTCCGACCCAGCGCCTCCCGAGTGTTAGACAGGCACTCTACTAACTGCGCCACACCCCAGCTCTGCTCTCCCCGTTCCTAATTAGCATTTTTTGTCAGGGCTAGCAGTGTACATTTCACCACATGTCCATATTTCCTATTTGCATATCCTTTTTGGTGAATGTGCAAATGTTTTTTATTTTGTTTTTTAATTGCTTCCTAAGCTCTACATAATATATGTCTCAAATCAAAGTCTTCTAAACATTTAAACATTCTATGGAGAGCTATTTTCGTTGTACAGAATGGGGAGGATAGAGGACAAGGGACAGGAGTAGAAGGGATCTGAAAGTTCTGAAGGGTCTAGTCATTTCTCAGTTTGGACCAGAGAGCCGTGGACTCTGTCTGTTGTGGGGACAAGACCACCCGGCCAGCCCTGGGCCTTGTATCTGCTATAAGCTGGGAAGAAGGACAGGTGAGGTCCACTGACAGCTCCCCCCCCCCTCCCCAGTCCTGCTGCATATGGCGGGGAAGAGCTCTTACCTCCTTTTGTCTTCATATGGAGTCTGCAGCCCAGAGTGCCAGGGACCAGCTCAGAGGCAGAACACATTGAGATAGATAGGCTGGACGGAGTGGTCTTCACTGAAACCTGACTTTCTTTTCCCCAGTGTGGGAAGGGGGCAATGCCCCCTCCAGGCAGCCTTCCTGGTTCCTGCAAGACACACTCCCCCACATCTGGGAGTCCAGCTTCAGGGGCTCCTCAGAAAGTTCTAAAAACACCTTCCTCACTGTCCCTATTCCCACATCCAGCCCTGGGTCTTCCTACTCCACCTCAGGTCAGAGGGGTCAAGTCTCTAGCTGCCTGAGCAGGACTTCCTGTCTGGCTGGGGCCTAACGACCAAGGGTGTGGCCAGAATGCGGAGTATAGGACCTTCCTCAGTTCCAAATCTCAGGTCAGAGTTGGAGGGTTCCACTGGCACCCTCTAGATCAGAGATCCCCTCTAGGTGTGGGGGAACTGAGGCTGGGGACAGGTGTTTGGTCCTCCTCCGGTACATGACGTCATAGGGCAGGATGTGGCTGTTTCGGCCCTGCCTGTCCCACAGCCAAGGCTCAGGATGGCACAGTAGGTGCTGGAGGGCTGACTCAGCAGTTAAGAGTATGAACTGCTTTTGTAGACAACCCAGGTATGGGTGGTTTACAACGGCTGTAATTCCAGCTCCAGGGCATCTGATGCTCTCTTCTGGCCTCTGTGAGCATCTGCACTCATGAGCACATATAAGGCTCTCCCCACATCATTAAAAATACAATACATCTTAAAAAAAAGAATGCACACTAAGTGTTTGATCTAGTGATGCATGAGCCCACTCTGGAAGACAGAGCATTGTCTCCCTCAGGAGCAGATCTAAGGAGGGGCTATTTGGGGAGGTAGGCGCTGTCAGCTCATCCCAGTACAGATGTGTCCCCACAGGCCATCCCACCTGGTCCAGGAACCTGATGTCACCTAGTTTTAGGGACGTAGCCTTCATGTAACATATCCCCCAAATCCTGAACCCCAGAGCCATCACAGGTCCCCTTTAGGGCCCTCCCCTGTCCTACTTCCGTTTGCCTCTAATATTAGGGACCTGGTCTCCTCTTCACTCTGTCACTTAGTTTCCCACAAAGTTCTTGACACTCTGGATTCCAGGTCTGCTGTGGAGGAAGAAATTCCATCTGTGCATCTTTGCATTTCCTCAGCAGCCGGTGACAAGTGCGGCCTTTGTCCTCACCGGATGGAAGGACAGAGGGAGGTCACAACCTGGCTGTGGTGA